AACCTCTACTGAATACTTTTTTCTACTGTGTTTTCTTCCTCAATCCTCTTCTTTCCTTCCCTTCCTTTCTCTAATAAATAATTGCCAGAAAGCTCTGCAGGAGTATTCTAGCATCTCTGAGGAATTGTCGTTAACCAGTTTTGCCATGAAAAGGGATGTCCAGGAAGGCCAGGCTCGGTGTCTTACGCACCTGGGAAGGCACGCGGAAGCTCTGGAGATTGCTACCAACTTGGTGAGTGTTTTCATTGCTCATTTTCATTTGCTTTCCTGTACCGAGAATAATTCATTTTCTTAAACACAAAAATAAAAAACCTTGCTAGCAAAAACTCTGTGGGTTTGGATAAGCAGAAGACACTTGTCAGTAGTGTTGGAGCTGTGGACACAATCACTTTCTTACAGCATTCGTTCCTGTCACACTCAAAATTCTTTATTGCTTGGGAATGTCATTTACAAAGGTTTGACTCTTGCTGGGAGTAAATATTTACATATTCAGGGTGGAAGGATTATGAGTGATCTGTTTTCTCCCTTAGACTTACTTATTTTCCAGAATTTCAACAATGAACATGTATTACTTTTATAAGCAAAAAAGTTATGAAAAAAATGACTACTTATACTAAGCAAAGCTTAATAATGCTTTTTATTCTTAAATGGAATTTGTAGAATCTTTTCAGGGATAAAGAAAGGCAATTCTTTGAAAGTCTAGATGATTTGTTTGTTTTTGTTTTCAGATAAAGGCATTTATGGTTTACTTCTGTTTTTTTTTTTGTGTGTGTGAATTTTATATGGGAATTGATCTGAATTGTCCAATCCTAGTTTATAGATGACCGGGTTTCTTCCTCAGAGGAATTAATGAGGCACCATGGCACTGATCTTGAACCCTGTGGGTCTAGCCAGCCAGCAGTGGGCATGCCGTCGAGCTGTCATCCTCCATCTCGTTAACTAAAAGAAATCCCTAAGCTTTGCTTGGCTTTGTGTGGGTCATTGCATAGGACCGCAGCCTCTTGCAGTGAGAGCATACTTGGCAGTAATTGTCTTAAGAACATGGAAAACAACTGTGCTTTGTTCTTTCTTTCCTGTGTCTACTAATTGAGGTTAACTCAGAAGCTGAGTGATAGATTGTCTTGTTAAAGGACCATTGGCATAAACAGTGAACTTGATGGC